GAAATTAAAGCAAAATTTAGAGAAAATGTGTAGTGGAAGAATGGCCTTATTTTATATTTATACGAGTGTCTTTTAATGATCCACTTTGATACATATGGAGAAATGGTATTATTTTTTATGTTTTGTAAATTTGTTTATTGCTTTGCTCTTTAGAAGATAGTCTCACCAGCATGGTGGCACATGCCTGTAGTTATAGCACTTGGGAGACTGAGGCAAGAAGATCGCCATGAGTTTGAGGCCAGCTGGAGCTACAAAGTGAATTTAAGGCCAGCCTGAACTATATAGCGAGACCCTGTCTAAAAAACAACAAAACAAAGTTGTCTTCCCATATTGGCTTCTGCAATTCCATCTGTTGCAAAAAGACAGACTCCTTGATTAAAGTCTATGAAGAAGGGTCTGTTTTACATGGGTAAATAGAAAAGAGAATAGTATATTAATAACCTTTTCAAATAATTGCAGATGCCATTTGATAAAGTGGTAGTCTTTTGGGCTGGGGATTTAGCTCAGTGGTGCCACACCTGCCTTGAAACCATAGGTCCTGAGTTTGATCCCCAGTACCACAAAAAAACAAAAAATCATGGGGTCAAAGTGGTAGTCCTTTAAAGTACTCGCATTAAAGTCCATTGGTTTGCCTTGAATTTTGAGTGGATTTACTTAGGCGTAATTTTGTGATATCATGTACTAATTAAAAACATAGTGAATCACTGACTTAAGTATATCATCCACTGTCAATTTTATTATACAAAGTTTTGAAAATCGGTTTTTTGGGTTTTTTTGGCAGTACCAGGGATCAAACTCGTGACCTCACTTGGGAGGCAGGCATGGTCCCACTGAGCTAAATACCCCCCCCCCCCCCCCCCCTTGAGACAGAGTCTCACTAAGTTGACTTGCTGGAATTCAGACTTATCATCCTCCTGCCTCCTGGCATGCAAGCATGTGCCACAACGTGCTACCTTTCTTGAAATCAAATTTCTTAATAATCTTATTAGAGAATGTAGACCAAGTAATGACATCAGTAAGTAGATGGTAGTATCTCTTTATTTGTTGGTTTGTTTTTTTTTTTTTTACCAACCATTGCCTTTGCCTTGTTGAATGAATATTGGTACAGTGTGATAAGATCATAGTTTTATATAGTATATTGTTAAATCTCTCTTAGTATAAATTAAAATGGGGATAGTTTTGACTTTCATTTTCTGGAAAGGTCTTGTGGACTTATAGTAGTCTGAACTATACTATGAGAACTCTTTGTCACTGTGGTGTGTGCTTTTATGCATGGTTCTGGGAATCAGCTCTTTGCTTCCTTTTTTGGTTATGTGTTAAATTTAAGTACAATTGAATGATAAGATTTCTGGGATATATATGTGTAGTTCTTTTCATGGAAAGGCATTACAGCCTTGTAAACACTGTAAGTTTAAAATCTTAACCTTTTGTTATGCTTTTATTCTAATTTTTGAAGAATGAAGGTAATTTGCGAAGATGGAAATAGGATTTTATAGCCCAATCCATTTATATATTTATATGACTTTGTGTAAGTTATTTAATATCTCGGTTCCTCAGTTTTATCATCTCTAAAATGGCATAAGAGTAAGCCTACCTTACAGGATTGAATCAGTCATTTAAAACTGGGTTTCAAATCACAGCTCTATGTATTGCACTGCAATATTTAGGATGTTGGTTACAAATAACTTGTTTCAGCTTAAGCTGTGTCTGTTAATGTGTGGTTAAAGTTAATAAAGCATCATTAAATTTTTTTTTAAAACCAGTTCTGATTTTAAAAAATATATATGTATATATATATATATTTTTTGGTACCGGGGATCGAACTCGGGTCCTTGCGCTTGCACAGCAGTCGGCAAAACCACTGAGCTAAATCCCCAGCCCTTAAAATATATTTTTAAAAGTGAGGGTCTTTTATATTGCTTTTGAGTGGTCACGTGGTTGAGAACTTGTTTAGATGATTCTTATTGCTGTTACATAAAAAGAGAGAAGTCCGTCCTGTCTTTCAGTTTATAAAATCACCTCAGTAATCTTCCTCTTTTACATTTACTAGAAGTATATAATATTGGATTTTTACAAAATAACAGCAATCTGAAGAAATGACTAGGAAGCTAAAAGGTCTGTCTCCTAAAAATATGTCTCTTTAAGAGTGAAGTGTAGAGGGGCCGGGGATTTAGCTCAGTGGTTCCGCCGCCTGCCTCACAATCGCAAGCACCCGAGTTCGATTTCCGGTACCAAAAAAAATAATAAAGAAAAAAAAAGTAAAGTGTAGAGCTGGGGATTTAGCTCAGTGGTGCTGCCGTCTGCCTCGCCAGCGAAAGGTCCTGAGTTCAATCCCTGGTACCGCAAAAAAAAGAGTAAAGTGTATAAAATAACATTTAGTAATTTTTCAAAATATACTGTTAACATTACTAAATAAAGATATATGTATGTTTAGTGAAAAATGCTGCAACACAATGTGCATTTTGTATTTTAATATAATGATAGGTTGTATTATGGAATATTCTGAGATATTGATTATTTTATGTAAGGAAAGACACTTTACTTTAGCACTTAAGCCAGTTTATAATATAGCATCAGAAGGGAAGTTACTATTACTATTTGTATAACGGACCTGCAGTATGTTAATATTTCCTATGAAAATCTCTTAGTGGCAAAAATAGGTTTACAAATAATAACAAAGTACTATATTTGGCTGGGGATTTGGCTCAGTGGTTTCGCCGCCTGCTGCGCAAGCGGAAGGATCTGAGTTCCATCCCCGGTACCAAAAAAACCACCACCACAACAAAAACATAATGCTTAGCTTTGGCGAAACCACTGAGCTCAGTCCCCAGCCCAAGCTAAGCATTGTTACTTCACAGTGACATTTAGAGCTGAAAAATAGTGAATAAACAAAGATGGTTTCTAATCCCTTTCCCTCCGTAAATCATAGGACTATATAGTTTGTTAGGATATATGAAAGATATTTGAGAATTTGGAGTTTCAAGCAGTGAGATTATTCTTTATTAGTGATGAGACATTGCATCCCTAATCTCATAGTGAAGTGAAATCTGAAAGAAAAAATGTAAATTAAACCCCAGCTCCCCAAAAGTCATTGTAAGAGCCTGTTTCAAAAAATGAATGAAGGACTGGAGATGAAACTCCGTTGTGAAGGCCCTGGGGGCAGTCCTCTGTATCACACATTCATAGTTGCATATATAGATAGATGAATAGCAAAATTAGAAAGAGTGGAAGTGGGGCTTAGTAGCAGAGCTCTTGTGTGCTCTGCTTGAGGCCCTAGATTTGATCCCTGATAATGGAGGAAAAAACTCTATTGATAGCTAAGAGTTTCATGAAAAGAAAGAAACTTTTTTTTTTAGAAACTTATTTTTAAAAGACACTTATAGAAATAGCATTTAGAAAGGTTTGGCACTTATGTCTTGTAAATAATGTGACTAAACATTTTATTTCTTTGTGATGTTTTTGTTTTTCACAGCTTCACATATTGCAGCATAGCTTTATTAAAGATTACCTTTTGATCATCTCCATTTAGTTTAAATGGATAGTATTCTTAAACAAAATTTTTTAAAGAGTCATTTATTGCTTAGTGATCATTATACAGTACTCTCATCGTAGACTTCTCCTTAATTCTAGTTTTGTATGTACTTTTCACTCATGTTTTATATCATTAAATGGAATTGTAAATGAACATTTAGTTTTTAGTAAATTGCTTTTGAAAATAATTTTTACTTTCTTGAGATTTAAACATTGGTGCCTTTGTGTCAGAATATTACTTATGATTACTATGTTTTTAACACACTTGAGACTGGAAATGGTCATCAAAATGAGAATTACTGGGCCGGGGATTTAGCTCAGTGGTTCTGCTGTCTGCCTTGAAAGCGCAAGGTCCTGAGTTCGATCTCTGGTACCAAACAAAAAGAAATGAGAATTACTATTTTAGGCAAGCATTATACCATCTGAGCTATGTCCTCAACTTGAGAAATTGCAATTTTTGAATGTTATTTAGGGACTGGAGATGTAGGTCAGTGGTAGAGCAGTTGCCTACCGTGTGCAAGGCCATGAGTTCTATCCTCAGCACTGCATACATAAGTAAATAAAAGTCATTTAGTAATTTCACCTGAGGTTTTTTTTTTTCTTTTTGGTACCAGGGATCGAACTCGCGTCCTTGTGCTTGCACAGCAACAATTGAGGTTTTTTTTTGAAGTTAATGGGATTGTTGTTAGTAAATTACTTATTTTTAGGAAGTAGTTTCTATAATTAACTTTCAAAGGTTTCTAACATTTGTATGGCCTTTTGTGCTATAGATAACTTCAGTAGTGCATTGTTTCAGAAACTGGTACACTAGGGGCCGGGTATTTAGCTCAGTGGTTTCGCCGCCTGCTGCGCAAGCGCAAGGACCCGAGTTCAATCCCCGATACCAAAAAAAAAAAAAAAGAAACTGGTACACTTGCATTCAGGTTTTAGGTAGCACCATTGCTCAGCTTAAGGAAAGCAGGGTTTTGTTGAAATTCAATAACTGATTGTGCAAAATGAAGACTTCTATTATATACCTATAGTCTCTGAGTAGAAGGGTACTTTAGTAAAAATGAAAGAATGAATATTTGGACAGTGAAAATTATGTGTGATTTTTACCTATTTTAACACTTTGGTGACCTAGGAGGAAGAAAAATTGGTACCAGTTATTGTTTTAGATTTTCCTTTGAAGTCTTGGTATGTGTTTTTGGTGGAACAGAAACATTAAAAAATAATTTGTGGTAGATTTTATGTAATTTGGTTCACGGATCATCTTGCAATATAAACTGGTATTCTAAGCATTTATAGTGTATTACGTTTGGGAGACTGGTGTTCTCTTTGGTGTTTCTATTAAGTAAACGATATTGGAAATTTTCAAAATTTTTAATGGAAAGTGATGTTGTAATTCACTTTTTTCTTTTTGATTTTAGATGGGATATGTAAAATCATAATATCGATAGGTTGACTGTGACAACTATGTTTACTTACAGAGAGAACAGGAAATGAGAATGGGTGATATGGGTCCCCGTGGAGCAATAAACATGGGAGGTAGGGATTTGAAGCAAAAGCCTTCTGTAACTTACTTGTACTTCTTTGGGATACTGTCAATGCTCTTTGTGGTATCTACATATCAATAAGAGACTTAAAATATGGAACCGACACTAGTGAAGGTGAAATCTTTTTCATTTATTAAAGTGAAATATAATTATATTAAAAATACATGCCAAGGAAGAAAGTTTGGAAGCTGTATGTTACATACTTATATAGCTTCAGTGAAAGAAATATAAATTTCTAATACAGCCTGAAAATAGTTCAGTCATGATATGATGTAATACAGTTGTGTCGTATTTTTGTAATCAAGTTTTGTGCCTTCAAATTGGCTTTTTTACTCTGGAAAATTATAGTTTTTGGTCAAGTGTTTTTAAACTTTTTGAGAACATTTTACAAATTTCTGTTTTAAACTAACATTTTGTTCATGTTATTGAGTATTTAACATTTTGTTCTTTTTTTTTTTTTTTTTGGTACCAGGGATCGAACTCGGGTCCTTAGCTTGCGAGGCAGGCGGTGGAACCACTGAGCTAAATCCCCGGCCCTAACATTTTGTTCTTAACCATAGTAATGTACGTGGAAGTGCACCGCCTAGAGAGATCTATGACTTGAGGAAATGAAATGTGCCTTGCCTCATGCACAATGTACAATTTTTAAGAAAGTGCCTGCATTAGCAACTTTAATGTCAATTGGCTTTTATAGTCAGATTATCAGGAAATTAGAATCAATAAATAAAAATTAGTGGAGTATCAGAATTGTGGGTCTTCAGTTTAAAGTGCCATACATTTAAACATTAGATAATGCATTAAACTTTCACATTAAATGGTCCTACTGAAGCTATCACAAAGTCAAAATCTTTGTATAACCCAAATGTACACAGTATTTTGAAAATAACATTGCTAGGGCATCCTGTGTACATGATGTGCACACCCATGTAGTAATTCTTCAACTACATCGTGTATGAAATAAAACTTAAAAGACAGAATGAACATTTTCTATAATCACTTTTTCTTCCTTAAATCTCTGACACCAGTTCTTTGACACTTCTTAATTACATAGTCTGGAATTGGTTCATTTTCTTATCTACCAACAAGTAGTTATTAAATATCTTTGGTATATAAAGGACTCCTGAAACATTTTCCTTGCCCATAATAAATTTAATCATTCACATGGATACATGAAGTAATTAGTTTAAATTCTAAAATATGAAGCATAGTTGAATATATAATGATGTACCAGTGGTTGTGTATTTGTCTTTTTCAGAGTAAATTCTGGTTTGCTATATAAAATAATCTATATGCTTTCTAAGGACGATAAAAATGAGATTATTGTGGATTATAAGTAAAGTGAAGAACCATTACAATCATTAGGTTGTCATTAACATCAGAACCAGACTTTAAAATAGTATAAAGCTTAAAATCATTTCTCATGGTCCGGAGAGATTGAAAGCATTCTCTTTGCTTGATTAGCAACTTTATAAGAATATGCTTTTACATGCCTTATTTAGTTAGGAATTCAAGAGAATTTAAACATTTTATGACATTTTCACTAGAAAACCGCATTTACATTTTCAACACTTACTTTCCTGAAGTCTAATCCATTTAATATTCTTTTCTTTAGTCTTTATTCAATGGGAGACTTTACCTTAATGGTGTTTTGGAGTTAATCCAGTAGGGTTACTGTTGAGTAGGTAAAACTGATCTATCCCTTTAAGGTACATGGATGGGACCAGGTGTATAGCTCAGTGCTAAAGCTTGTACTTAGTGGCTTGGGTTTGATCCCCAGCAGAAAAATAAAGAATAAATTCTATTGATGGAATGTAGCAGTAGATTTTCTGGTTTACCATTAGTGTGCATACCAAGTAAAACACAGATTATAAAGCCAGATAATGGCAACGTTTCTTAGATCTTTAAATTTAGTTTATCTATAGTTCTGTGGATGAAGATGTCAGTACTAAAAAAAAGGCTGATAGTTGGGAATATACTGATCCTTTTTTAATTCTCAAAGTTGTATAGTTATAGTCCAGACTCACAAGTATAACAAGTCTACTGAAGAAGAAGAGGGAAAAAAAATACTATTGTTAATCTGTTCTTTTGAGGGAAAATTAAGGAAAGGTGCCTGTTAGATACTGTCTTCAACCCTACTTCATTTCTAGATTGTGGAAACCTGTTAAAGTGATAATGTAACTGTCCCAAGGGAATGGAAACATTCTTGGATAAAATATAGATTTATCTGCAAGAACATTTTAGGGTTAAGAAAGTAATTCCTTTGAAAAGTTGCTTGTTTTCTAGGATTGGGTTTGAAGAACAATAGTATGCGATGCTGACGATTGTTATAGGTGAGAATGTTTTCAGCTACTCCTTGGACAGGACACTAGAGAGAGTTCAGCATCATTAGGTATTCTGAAGTGGATCTGAATGAAAATTTCAGCTCCTTTTATAATGTATATTTGAGAAATTGAATTCTGAGGGTCAGAAAATTGACCTACATAATGAAATGCTAGGAGAAACCTCTAAGCTGGAATCAGTCTTTGTTCTGAATTTTTAGGAACAAGCAAGAGCACTTAAAAAATGAAAAGAAAATTTTTTTGAATACCTAAAAATACGCCTTTTAAACCATCTTATTTATAATAAGTATTCCAGGGCCGGGGATTTAGCTCAGTGGTTTCGTCGCCTGCTGCGCAAGCGCAAGGACCCGAGTTCGATCCCCGGTACCAAAAAAAATAAAAAATAAAATATAATAAGTATTCCAGTTGAACCACTATGGCAATTAATATGAGATAGATGAATGTCTTTTTTGATGAAAAAATTTGATCCATATCTGATTATCCTCATTGCCAGAATTTTGCATGTCAACATCTCTGGGTGCAGTTGTTTTTAAAAATAAGTTTTATCACAATGAGTCATTTTTATTGGGGGAGTTTAGATTGCATTTTAATAAAATGTTTAAAAAATAGTACTTTGTAATTTGGAAATGTACTTAGTAATGCTATAAAAGCCAAGAGTTTTCTGCAGTGATCTTTGTAGGAAGTGGTTTCCCCCCTTACACCTTAGTGTCATTTACCTGGTACTGTTTTTAGTTATGGTTAAGAGAACATTTTTGAAGTGGTGATCCTCTCTTGTTCATTGAAACTGATAGAGTCAAAATTGTTGGTTAACAAATTTTTTGCCGGGTATGGGTGTGCATACTTCTAATTCCAGCACCTGGGAGGCTGAGGCAGGAGGATTGCCTTGAGTTAGAAGCCAGCCTGAACTATATAGTGAGACACTGTCTCAAACAAAACAAAACCAAAAACAAACCAAACCAAAACAAAATTGTTGTAAGTAGGCTATAGTACATAATACTGATTTTTAAAACTTTGAAATTGTTACATTCTCAAATGGCCTAAAATAATTGATAGTTGCCTCGCTTGTTTTATGTTTACATATTTTGGGGATGAAACTTTTAGCATGTAGACAATGCTGTGTTGCACAGTAGATATTTGTCTCATTCTCAAGGAAGGAAAATGATTTTGGTAATAGTCTTGGGGTATAAGGTCATGTAAGTTATGTAAAGTTTTTTTAATGTTTACTAAACTAAGATAGGACAGCTCTAAGTATAGATTGTTTTACATAGATGCGTTTAGCCCAGCACCTGCTGGTAACCAAGGTCCTCCTCCAATGATGGGTATGAATATGAACAACAGAGGAACTATACCTGGCCCACCAATGGGTCCTGGTCCTGCCATGGGACCAGAAGGAGCTGCAAATATGGGAACTCCAATGATGCCAGATAATGGAGCAGTGGTAATGTATCATGAACATTATTTTGATTATATTCAGTAATGTACACTTGTGCCCCAAAGATACCTTCACACTTAACATAATTTGGCATCATTTGTTTCGGCAAGAGAGAGAGAGAAACAACCAATGACAGAAAAATAACTTTGTGAAGTGATGTTTAGATTTATGAGAGACAATCTTTAATAGCCCGAGTTAGGAGTACTATCCATGGTATGCTCTTATATCCCAGTATATAGCACATACTATGTTTTTACAAATTTTTTTCAGCGCTTTAATTTGTAGCCACCATTTGTCAGTGCTCACTGTAATGGTTGAATATTTTACATTTATGTTCTTTCTCTGTGTGAACTCCTTTGGTGGGGATAAAACTCCATTATGTATGAAAACACAATTTTCAGTAACCGTTTTTGCTAGAATGGTCACATGTCATGACTTCAGAGTGTGTATTTTCACTGTAATAAACAGGGTTCTTTTTTTTGGTACATTCTAAACTTACATTGCTGTATTTTCACAGAATTACTTTTTATATTTGTTACTAAATTTAGGTAACTTTTGCTTTGCTCTGAGAGTGTGAAGATATCTTTGTATGGGTTAAATATAAAAGGAAGGTGTTTCAGTTGCATTTTATTATATATTCAATATCATCAAGACTGATAACTTTTATCCTTAAATGAAGCTTTATAATGGCAGAACATTTTCTCATGTGTTCATCATTGTTCTAAATGACATTTAGAAAGAAAACTTTGTTGGCTTTATATTTTGAAAAGGCAGTTTGGTTTGGGCACTACCATATCAAATGTTTAAGGTCCACTGCTGCTAAAGAAGAAAAACACTGCCAGTTAAACTTAGACATACTATCATTTGTAAATCCATGTTGATTTAGAAGACAATAAAAGTAAGACATTGTGGGCTAGAGATATAGCTCAGTGGTAAAACTACTTTCTAGCATGTGCAAGGGCACTAAAAAAAAGTAAGACATTGTGCGTTTTAGAATTGAGGAATGCACAGTTTGTCATTTTAAATTTATTTACTTAAGATGTAGTCTTTTTAAAATTAGGAAAATCTGATGTGCTAATAGTTGGAATTTTAAAAATGATAGTTTATCAGCAAATTGAGGCAGTGTCAGCACCTACTATGAACGCCTATTTTATTTTAGATGGCACCTATTTTTAGAGTAAAATGTCAGAAAACTCAAAAAAACATTAATTTGGTTAAGTTTTTCTTTAGCATATAACTCTCAGTTAAGTAATAATGTTAACTATCCTATTTTTATACTTCTTTCCCTGAAATTGTAAACTATTTGAATATCACTCTTGGGGCTTTTTTGCACTTAGATTTTACTATATTGTACTTAAGGAATTCTGTTCAAACCTTGAGATTAATAATATATAACTTATTATTGTAAAGTCTTCAAAATATTGGGTTTTGATGTTTAATTGTGTTATTTGTCATACATATTAGCCACCATTTAAACTTTATAATCATTTTCCTAATACTAGTCTTTCAGTATAAACACCTCACAAGATTTGATATTGAAATCATAATTCTTTGCTTATGTTTAGACTGTTGCTTTGTGTCTTTGTTTTAGAATGTTTGCTTCATAAAACAATGTGATGCTGCTCCCCAGTTTTATTTTTCTCATTTTTAGTAAAAAAAAGTATTTATCTTTCACCACACAGTTTAGTGTAATACAAACTTTAAATAAAAGATCAGTAATATAATAGCGATTAGGCTTAAGATGGCATTTGTTTATATCATACAGTCAGTTCTTTTTTCATGAAATGGGGGCATAGCATTAGCAATATGTAAAGCTTCAGATGCTGCTTTTTTATTTTTAAACATAGTAACTAATTAAATTGCTCCTTTCTTCCTTCTATGTGTGATCCTGATTCTGCTGGACTTTCTGCTGAACTTCATGACACCACCACTTGGGATTTTGCCAATTTTTCTTGTCACTTATATTTGGCGTGTTCCAAATGGACTTCATGTTTGTTATGTGGTATTCTAGCACAATGATAGATTTTCCCAAGGACCACCCTCCCAGATGGGCTCTCCCATGGGGAGTAGAGCAAGTTCTGAGACCCCTCAAGCACCAATGACTGGTGTGGGTCCCGTGAGTGGTGGTCCTGGTGGCTTTGGTAGAGGCAGTCAAGGGGGCACCTTCGAAGGTCCTAATAAGCGTCGTAGATACTAAACATTATTTTGTTCCTGACTACCTAGAAACAAAATTCAGTGGTATGCCTTTACACATTTACTTGTTACTTGGAAGAAATGGTTTTATTGTTAATGTGTGTGTAGACTGAAAACTTTCTTTTGTAAAACTTGAGGTTTTTGTATTTTTCTTTATTCATAAGCTTTGTAGATTAGAATGGTAATGATGATACGCATCATTGTGAATGTTAAAATGTGTTTGTGACTTTAGCTAACTATAGCCTATGCCATAGTACTGTGAAATCTATGTAGTTACTTTATCTCAATAAAGAAATCATTTTGAGTAATTTAAGATGTTATTAGTGGTATTCTCTTATGGTTTTACTAAGCTTTGCTGTAACAGTAATTCCTTGGTTGCTTTAACTAATCCCAGCCATTTAAAAATGCAAAAACGATTTTGCTTTTTTTGTGCAAATAGCCCTGAAGATAGAAACTTAGTGAAAGCTAATGTCAATACAGATACATAGATTAGTATATTTGGGGGTGGGAGTGCATGGGAGTTTAATTTGTGTAACCCATTGATGTTCTGTGAAATTGGAGTTGCTGCCTACATTTCATAAAGATTCTGAATATTCAGATATTCTGAAAAGGATTAATAAGGGTATCTTTGTCCTGTGCTGCTTTTTCCAAATAAATCTTTTGAATCTTGAAAAAACTGTTTGAAGGCAAATCTCTTTTGCTTATAAAATAATATCTAGTTTTAAATTTTATCTACCAACATTTATTTGGTGACAGTATCTAGATCTCATCTCAATTATTATACAACTAGTGTTGAATTTTTTTAAAGAAACAGTACTGTTGGATTGGTAGTTACGGCAAGATTTCCTGGGTGGTTCATGGTTAATTAGGCACTTCTTGAGAAAGTTGGTTTCTAATAGTGTTAAAAGGATAGCTTGACTCTGCAGTGTTGACAGTATTTCTCTGTAGTTGTAATTCTCTCCAGTAAAGTCTGTGTGATGGTTAGGACTGTTTACAGAGAAGTGTTGAATTTCAAAAGGGAGAGAAACAACTTCAGAATGGAGGAGTCTTTGAAATCTGATTAGATTTCTGTTCTGTCCAATATCAATTTTGAATTGCAGTGCTTGATTTCATCATGTTACAATGTTTCCCCTGAAAGTGATAGGTACTTTTAGAAGTTTGTATGTTTTATGCTTTTGTTCGGAATTGCATTAAAAATTACATTAAGAAAGCTCACATTTAAGTTGGACTACAAAGCTTAATTCACCAGCCACTGATCATAGCATTTACTTTTCACACATTTCAGTGTGTTAATACATCATTCTTTTACCATCTTTCTGAAAAATATGGTGTTTTAAATAAATTGTATGTAAACAGTGCCTTTAATATTTCCATGGTGTCTATTTTTGGAGGAAAGCCTATTTTTGAAAGAAATAGCTTTGGTTAATTAAAAATAAAAAGCAATTGTTTATAAAGCATAATATGCATTCTTTTTTTACCAAGTTATTTTTCGTATGTATTGTTTCATGCTATTTATTTTGACACTACAGTGTGTATGAAATTATTTTCCAAAATTTGCAATATTCACAAGCTTTGGTTTCGGTAATTCTTTGAAAACATGTGGAGATTGTAAAATGATAGTTAAGGACTATTCTCGTTGCATTTTTTCATGAGTATAAGGTGGAGGAGATTTGGATTTGTTTTATGACATTAATTGGGGTGTGAAGAGTTTTAAAATTAATTGAAATTTCTAAGTGATATTTATTGCATTTAAGTCTACTTTTTCCATCTATGTTTTATTTATCTAATACTCTGGTAATTTTTAGCATTGTATTTCATTCAAGGCTGAATTCAGATTGGGAGACACTTGATCCTTTGATGTTAATACCAAGCTACCTTTGGCCAAGGCTGTGAAATTCTGTATGATTCATTCAAGGACATTTGAAAGCCAGTGCACAGAGATGTATTAATCTCCTGAACATCCTAGTGTCCGGGCTCAACTCTGGCTCCAAGAACAGAGTTCTACACAGCTTTTCCCCTGCATCAAGAAAATTCTTGTTCCAGTACTTACCAAGTTTATCATGGAAACAGTCAGCTTCTGAGTGACAGTCAAGTGGAGCATCTGTGAACTTCTAGTTACTCAGTTGTTTAAGGGTTTTGTATAAATATCTGTAGCTGGTTTACTCAATATTTTTCTTGTGAATTAGTATACCAATGAACATTGTTGTCCTTTGCTTAAAAATCATAGACATAAAACTGAAGAGGAAAAAAACTGAAGAGGAAATTCAATAGTGTTAGGTTGCTGAGTAAGTGTGAAGTTGTCATATATGCTATCATTTTTTAAAAGATAATATGAAACAATTTTAATATTATCACCGTCTTCTGTTTTCTTTTTGTGTCATTTAAAATTCCAAGTACTAAGTTTAAAATCTGTAGGGTTTAGCTTTCATATACCTTTTGCAGTTAACATAAATAAAACAAAAGTACATCCATTTTCCTAATTTATCTTATTCTAGCAGTGTAATTTATTGGAATTTCTCATTTTAATTTTGAAAACATATGCATTGATTTTCTCTGACAGATCGCTATCCTAGCTGGTCATTTAATTGAAATTGGAATTATCAACAAGGACAGTGATTGAAACTTTGGCTCATTTTTCTCAAACCCTAAATTATACCTTCACAGTTTATGTAGAAATATATTTGCTGAATATTTCAGTGACTTGGTATTTCCATGGAAAATATGTAATGCTTGCTTAATATCAGTGTAAGTGACTCATAGTCACTGATTAATAAATCAGGAGTTAAATTGCAGATTAGCATAGATTTTGAATGGGAAAGATTTAAACGATTGAAGCGACATGAGAGGAAATGTGATATGGCCAAAGCTTTATTTTAGAAGGGTTGAAATTTAGTGTCCAATGGTATTAGTCAGAAATAAAAGCCATGTCATTTTGGACAAATAGAGGGAGTCTCCTGGGGAGTAAGATGTTTTAATAAAAAAAAAATGTTTGCATGTTTAAGAGTTTTGTTACAACATCTAATATATTAAAGTATATTCTTGAAGTTTCCGGTGATAGCAAAGATTTCAAAGTTGAGAGATTTTAAGAATAAAACTGAATACTTGTATGTTAGAATAACAGTTGTTAATGTTTTCTAGTATTTCTATTAGTTATTTATAGGCATGGACTTTTTAAAGAGTGGAAGATTACTTCAGTGCAGATTTCAGATTACTTTGATTGTAAATATTTCAACACACAGCTCTTAAAAGAATATTGTGGCCGGTTTTATACCAAAGAATATTAATTTCCACATATTATATTAAAAAATACATGTCAAGTTATATAACCAAGTGTAGGTTTATTTCATCATAAGCTAATCATATGATTAAATAAATAAGCAGTAATCTTACACTTTATAAAAGCATTCTTTCATTTTCAACAGCCTACGTTACTAAGTATTTAAAAATAGGACTTATTTTCTTATGTTCACTTTATACAAAAATTTCTTTGTTTCTTTTTTTTTTTTTGTACCTTGGGGATCAAACTCAGGACCTTGCATTTTTGAGGCAGGCGATGGAACCACTGAGCTAAATCCCGAGCCTTCCCATATGAATTTCTCATTGAGTAATTTATAAACATTTATTCTTAGGAAATAAGGAAGAATTGGAGAAATTTCTACATTTAATCTTTTAAAATCTGAATTTACATGTTAAGTATTCTATTCACTTTTTTAAACTACCAACAGCACCATGTTAGCCAGGCATGGTGATGCATGCCTATAATGCCAGTACTTGGAAGGCTGAGGCAGGCAGATCACTGAGTTTGAGGCCCACCCAGGCTGCACAGTGAGTTCAAAGCCAGCCTGAACTACATAGCAAGACCCTGCCTCTATCTTCTGTGTTATAAAAAGTTTGAATCTTTTCCCCGTTACTGAAAAACAACATTAATTGATTCAAGATTGATTGAAAATTGGATCTTTTAAGACAGCATTTAAAATTTAGTCTTAAGATTTTATTTACTCTTGTCTTTCCATAAAACCATGTTTACATTATGAATGTTTCTTTGTAGAAACTTATTTGACTGTTTATTTGGTGAAAGCAGCAGTGTGTATGGTAGTTTCTCTGTTTTATTTTTACTTTTTATTTTTTTCTTCTTTTGGTACCGGGGATCAAACTCAGGACCTGCGCTTGCGAGGCAGGCGGTGGAACCACTGAGCTAAATCCCCGGCCCTGTATTTTGTTGTCCTTGTGAACACCAGAAGACTGTTTCACATTGAGGACAATGCACTTCTTAATGTAGTCACAGTCCATGTATGTACATTGAAAAAAATTCTTCAAGGATATTGTTTCATGGCTTGAATCACTATTGTTGCTACTACCTCCTTCCTCTGCAGTAGATACTGTATTTTGTTGAGTATAAGGAAATCTAAGAATTATTCTTTGGTTTGTCCCTTTGATTTAAACAAACAAGATATAGAAGGTGGTATCTGCTTGTTACTGTGTATAATATTTGTTGTTACAGAACAGTATTATAATCTATGAGATTTTATAGGGGTTACTTCAGAACCAAAGTTAAGATAAAATTAGCAGAATTGGGAAGAATTAAATGGAAGTGTACTGAGTTTGAAAGCATGACTATTTTCTTTTTAATTTTTCCATATTTAAAAATAAATTCAGTAAGTTTCTTTAGTTACTCATGTTAGTCCTGCCTTGTTTCAGTGGTAATGAGAGTGAACCACAACTACATATAGATACGTAATTTTTGTGGGTGGGTTGTTTTCTTTGTAGTATTAGAGATTGAACATGGGAACTCACGCATGCTAGAAAAATGCATCACTGCTAAGCTACATCCTAACTCCACCTTCTTTAAATTTTCTCAAAAATTTCTAGACAAAGTTTAAGTTGCCCAGCTGTCCAAGCTGGCCTAGAGCTTGCAGTCCGTTCTTCCCTCGGCCTTCCTGGGTAGCTGGGGTTACAGTACAGATATGGCCCACCATCCCTGACTTGTATATTTAAGTGGTTCACTGGTGGTGTTAAATACTTGAAATTGATGTTTATAGCTAAAATTTTCCTAGCTCTTTAATTACCTCAACATATTCACATTTTAATTTATATGTATAATTTAATTAGCCACATTCATTCATAATGTTTTCTCTGTGGAGCTCAGAGATACACTCTTACTCGTTCTAGCTTTCATTAAAAAATGGCATTATATGAGCTGGGCAAGATGGTATGTACCTGTAATCTCAGCACTCAGCAAGCAGAAACAGGAGGATTGCTGTGAGTTCAAGGCCAGCCTGCGCTAGTATGCTTAGTGACACCCTGTCTCCAAAAAAGAAAAGGGACATTGCCTGTTTGCCAACCAGTCAGGCTTTGTGAATAAGATTTTGTTTATATTTTTGAGTTTTACTATAATGACATAACCATAATCCTATGCATATTAACTTTGCCATGGTAGGACTATGAGTTACCTACATTTTCATTTGTTATATGGTTATTTAAATAATTTTACATGTCATTTAAATTATCTCATGTGGAAATACAGAAATATTTTAAGTCTTCCTTGCCCCAATAATCAGTTTTTCCCCAAAGTGTTTTTACATTATTAGTTAATGTAAATCAGTATCAAATTATGTGGCCTAGTGTTATATGTAATAAAATGTATAATCAGTAATTCGGGGGGGGGCTGGGGTGCAAATAATAATTTGTCCTGTTTGTTTTGTTTTGTTTGAGGCAGGGTGTTGCTATAGAGTCCACGCTGGCCTTGAGCTCACCATGTATTCCAGAATGCGTCAAACTCGCTGAGATCCTCCTGCCTCAGCCTCCTGAGTGCTGGGATTACAAGCATGTGCCACCATGCCCAGCACCCAGTAGTTATTGAGTCTGTATTCTTTGAGTCAATTTAAAACATTTTACATATTCCCACACTTCATTATTTTACACATTAGTGTAACTTTGAAGCAAAGAGTTTTTCAAATTTCAGAACAGTGGGGTTATTATCTACAAAATAATGTTTTCCTAGTTATACAAGACTTCAGAAGAGCTGTGTCATTCAGAACTTTACTATATCGTAACTATATATTTAGGGACTATACTCTGTGCTGGCAACTTTTGTAGGGCTTAAGTTATAATAGTGGAAAATACCTGTTCTCTAAGGAACAACAGTTATAAACACTTATATAATCAGTGGTTTTCAAACTTCAGCTTGTTCACTGGAAGGGTACAATCCTAGCCATTGGGAGACTACACCAGGCAGGAGGGTTGCCGTGAGTTCAAGGGCAGCCTGAACTACACACAATGAGCCCGTCTCCATAAAATCACCCCCAAAACAGGAAATCACTGAACGGCTTCTTAAACCCCAGAGTTACTGACTCAGAAGATCTCAGGTGGATACAAGAATGTACTTTTTGCAAGTTCCAAGGTTGTACTGATGCAGGTGGTTGGGGGACCCTCCCTCCCAAAGGTGGGCACAGTGGTG